GGGAGGGGCGGGGCGCCCCCTGGCGGGCGGGCGGGGCGGCCTCGGGCCCGGCCTCGTCCCGGAGGCTCCGGAGGCTCCGGGCGGATCCGGGAGGCCCGGGAGGCACCCAGCCCCGTCAGCGCCACGGCCAGGGCGAGCGGCGGCTCTGGGCCCCGCGGAGGCCGCCGCCATTGACCCCCCAGCTTCGCTACCCTTCATTAACCTTCGTTACCCTTCATTACCCTTCATTAGCCATTCAGTGACGGCCCCAGGACGGGAGCCGGGCCCCGGCTGTGCCCGCTGGGTCCGTCCGGGCTTGGTGCTGGTGTCTGCATCGCCCCGTGGACCAGCTCCACGCGCCCGCCGCGCCCCAGCGCCCGTGGAACGGGAGCGGCAGGGCCCCGGGATCCGCTTTTCCTGCGGGGATCCCGCCGGGACGCTCCRGTGCTTCCCTGCGCGGGGGCAGCCCCCGCTCCTGCCCCTATTCCCCCATCAGCCTCGCGCTGCGGTGCTGGGAGGAGCCGCAGGGCCGCGGCTCCCATGTGGGCCCGGGCCTTGGCCCCGTCCCGTGSCCCTCCGGGGGATCCCGGGGTGGAGGGGCTGGAGCCGCGGGGCTGGATGCGACCGGGTGCCCCCCGTGGGGCTGGGGACCCGCGGGGCCGTGCAGCGCCCCGGCCGGGCCCACAGCCCCGAGCCCTCCTCGCTGCCCAGCGCCGTCCCCGGCCGAGCCCGCCGGGCTCCCCGCTCCCGTGGACCCGCGTTCCGGAAAGAGCCGGGAATGGACCCGAACCTGCCCCGCGCCGAGGAGCGGGGCCCGTCCCGCGCCGGCTGCCCCTGGCGACACGCAGCGCTGCTCCCGCTGCCACTCGATGTATTTTTAGGTTAAAAAATGCCTTTCTCGCGCGCACAGCGTTGGCCCGGCGCGTTTGGGTCGGAGCTGACTCCATTGTCTTGTGCAGCGGGGCCTCCCCCGCGGTGCCAAAACGAGGAATTCCAGTCACATTTTGTCCGGGGCCCGGCAGCTCGGAGGAACTGACTCATCCCGGTTATATTTGTCCCTTTCAAAGGGAAGGTGGCGGCGGGGGAGCAGCGCTGCTTATCTGGCGTCCCGGAGCCGCTCGCCTGCGTGTGCGGGGAGCCCTGCCGGGGCCGTCGCGCGGGTCGGCCGCCGTGGGGCTGCCCCACACCCAGTGCCACCCGCTTTGGTGCTGGGGCGCCCGGCGAGCAGAAGCGACGAGGATGGAACCCGCGGAGCGGCCGGGATGACTCCGGCTGCTGTCCACCCACATCCCCCTTCCCGCGCACGGAGCTGCCGCCCCGCTCCGGGAAAGCGCCGGCCCAATTCGCTCCTCCTGCCCCTCCGCTCGATGCCGGCCGCCACGGGGACGCGGAGAGGGGCGGCAGCGAAGGCGGGCGGCGCTTCAGGAGCTTCCTCGCCGCGCGGCCCCTCTCGCCGCGGCTGCTYGCGGCCTGCCGCGCTGCAATTACAATCCTTCAGCTCAGACACATAATCATTGGGCCGGAGAGCAAGAAGTACCTGGGTAATGCGCTTAACGCGGATTAACCCGGTTACGCTCTGACTCTATTGAAAATGAGAAAGTGCTGATGGTCAAAATCAATTCCTCTCCAGCCAAATTAGTGCYGGGCCGGCTTAGGGTTTCAGCTAAATGGTCGCCCCACAGCAGCCGCCCTAATTGCCCCGGCTGCGAGCGGGGACCCGGCGAGCTGGGCGCTCCCGGCGCTCCCGGAGCAGCCGATCGGGGCGGCTTTGGGAGCGGCGCCGCTTCCCTGGGCTCGAGGCTGCAACCTGTTTGTTTGAGGCTGCAACCTGTGTGTTTGTCTGTTTCTTTGCTTGTTTTTGCCTTAAAAGCCGGAGCCCGGTGGAGTTTCCTGCGTGAGAGCCACGCGGTCGTTAGCTGGAAATTGCAAACGAAGCAGTTTGCAGGAGGCGGCACCCGAGCACCCAGTCCTTCCCCTGTAGGTTGCCCGCACCATTGCCCGGGGTTCATGGGGGCGTTTTTCCATGGAGAGAATTGGTGCAATTCGGGAAACCGTTCCCCAAATCCACGCCGTGCTGCCCCGGGCCGGGCCGCGCCGGGGCCGGATAACGTCGCGTTCGCCCCGATCGATGCCGTTTTGGGCCGYGGAGTTATTAGGCCACTGCCATAAACCGTGTCGGAGAGCGCAGCGGGCCAGTGCTGGATCTCCCCGCGCGCCGCTCCGGAGGCACCCGGTCAACACCGGCCCTGCGGAGGAAGGAGGACGGGGACAGGGTCCCTATGAGCCGTCCCCAGAGCAGGGACCAGCGCTGCAGGTGCCACCACCCAGCTCGGCCCCTCGTTAAGTGAGTGCTAAACCCCATAAAATCCCCCTTCCAGCTACTATTTCTGCACAAAAGGCTCCAGGGCAGCGAGATACACCAAGGCATCCGCTGAAGTAACGCGTCTGTTCTCATTTGTGACATTTATTATTAACAGGGAGAAGAAGAAGGAGAAGGAGAGAGGGAAAAAAAAGCCACCAGAAAGAACGGCTAATTGAAGGACTATTGTGCCTGGTAACAGCTATTAAATTAATCTGCTGCGTGCCTTTCCACCCACACGCTCACAAGCTTCCTGGTTATAATTAGAACCATTTACAACCGTTTTGACACCGYGGGGAGGTTGCAGTTCAGCTGCTTAGTCTGGTGACGGGCTGGGGACCGGGGCTCTGCCCGCAGCCCCGCAGAGGCTGTGTTGGGGACACGGTGGTTTTGGGGGACCCGGCCCGCCACCTGCCCCTGCTCTTTCCCACTKGGTTTTGTTTCTTCTCCTTGCTGCTGCCGTTCACAGTTTCATCTCCTCGGGTTTCTCCCCCTTCTTCTGTCCTGGAGCACCGTCAAGCCCCAAAAAAATGAGTTTATTTCTGTCTCTGCCTGATCGAATTCCTCTCCTTTTTCCCTCCCCTTTCTTGCTACTTGGTAATTTTTTCCCCARCTTTGGAAGTGCCGCAGAGCAGCGGAGAGGGGGAAAAAAGCAGGAAGGGGCGAGATGGGAGTGTCGCCTCTGCCCCCGGAGCCCGGCAGGTCCCCGAGGTTGTCACCCCGCGTGGGGATGGTGACGCTGCGGCACTTAGATGCCTCCCAGCTTCGTTATTGCTCTTGGCTTCCCTCAATCGGAGCCGCTCCGTTTGGGCTATTGATTGGGATTTTGAGCGAGGGAGGGGGGATATCARGTGTTTTTTATGAAGGGATGCTGGTATATTCTTAAATCTCCGCTTCTCATTCACTGCCAGCRTCCCCGGGAAGCCAACGGTCACCCCAGCCTGGATCCAAGCCCTTTGGGGCCGGAGCACATCGGGATTCATCCCTGCGCCAGGACACGCGGTGACAGGGAGACCACACGGTGCTTTGTGGGACATCGGGTGCGTTTTCCTTAGGTTTTTATCTCTTTCCCCCCTCACCGAACCGTCCTGGAGGCCCCTCGATCATTCCCATCGCGCCCAAGGACAGCGGGACCACAACCAAAGCAACRAAGTGCCGCGCACCTTGGGCCGCCTTGCCGTGAAATACATACATACGGGAAGAAAAGGAGCGCTCGTCGCGGCGAAAGAGGACTGATTAATATTTTAGTAAAACCGTCAAACTGAAGTTTAACAGACTGGTTAAAATCTCAGCTGGAGAAACCGCTGTGGTTCTCCACTGCCCTGCAATGTATTTGTCTATTTATTTATTTATTTATGCATTTATTTATTTATTTCCCGCGGCCCAGGCTGGTTTCCAGGGCCCGGCTCTGCCCCGGGGGCCGCCGGAGCGGCCGCGGAGCATTAGAGGCCTCGGCTCGCCCCGCTGCTTGCCCTTTACCCGAGCAAAGAATTAGCGGCGGTTTGAAAAGGCCCCTTCTTCCCCCTCCCCGCTCCCTTTTATAGGTACAATCATCAGATAAAATATTTCTGGAAGACTATTTACAAACTTCCCCGTGCCCATCAATCTTGCCGTTAAGCCAGCGCGGAGGAAGATCTCTAACCTCAAGAAGCTGCTAATGCAACCGAGCTATTTAATGGCGGGGCCGATTTCTTCTTTCTTTTTTTTTTTTTCCCCGCTGCCATTACTATAGAATACATAATAACATCAATAATTAAATATAAATTGGATTTAATATTTTATGCTGGCGACATGTAATTTACACTCTACCCGAGAAATCAAAAGGTCACGTCTGAAGCGAAGGCAAGGAGCTGGGAGAGGCGGGATGGGCCGGGGGCCGCYGCGCTCGCCCGGCGCCCGGGGGGCCGAAGCAGAGGCTTTTTTGGGGTGCAACAGGGCAGGTTTTGGTCTGTTGGAGCGGGCGTGGAGCGGCGGCCGCAGGGTGGCACCGGTGGCCGGGGGTCCGTCCCGCGGGGGCGCTGGGACCTCGCGCCTGGCGGCTGTGACCCCGTGGGGGATTCTCGGGCCGGCGGCGCCGGGGGTTCCCGTCCCCTCCTGGCCCGGGACGAGACGGGGAAGTTGTGGGAAGCGGCGGAGACGGCGGCGGCGGCTGCTGCTGCCTCGCAGGCCGGCGAGCCGCGGGGCCTTGGGAAGGGCATCCCGCTCCGGAGCGCGCGGAGCGCGGCCGCGCTGGG